GATTTCTAACCGAGTAATGCAATAGGCTGGACGAACTATTCACTTGCATTTCTTCGCAATTTTATTTGCCGAATAATTTCGCCGGAATCGGAAAATTCTTGAGTAGTAGATGTTACGGGAGGAAGTGATGACCTAGCTCTTTATGCTAATTGGATTAAGTTGAAAGAAATGGCATCGATTCGAAGAACGTTGTCGCCGTACCACGACCGGCCGTATCAGAACGGAGGAAATCCTTTTTCCGTCGAATCGGCTTCTCACAAGGTGCTATATAACGGGAAAGCCTCATCAACGTTACCTTCATTCGGTCTCGGCATTCTTAAATTCTTCGCGGGAGGCCTTTTCCCTAAAAATTCGCGAAAAGGCGTGAATTCATGGAAAAAGTGGATTTATAGGTGTTCGATGTTTTTCTCGCTAGGGTTTCTATTAGGTATGGCTCCATTTGGCGGAGTTGAGGATGTTAGACGCCGTGATTTCTCGTTTGACGAGAGTTTTGTCGCTAAGCCTGTGGAAATTGTTAAGGAGGAAAATGTGAAGAATTTAGTGGTTGAGAAGCCAGAGGAGAATTTTGTGGTGGATAAAGTTGAATTAGGGGTTGTTGATGTGAACAAGAGGTTTGATTTTGTTCCGAGGAAGCAGCTGATTGTGGTGACACCGACATATAATCGGGCGCTTCAAGCTTATTACTTGAACAGGTTAGGGCAGCTCCTGAGGCTGGTGCCGCCGCCCTTGTTGTGGATTGTGGTGGAGATGAATGCGGCGTCGTTGGAGACTGCAGATATTGTGAGGAAGACTGGGGTGATGTACAGGCATTTGGTGACAAAGAAGAATTTGACCGATATAAAGGACAGGGGCGTGCATCAGAGGAACACAGCTCTTGAGCATATTGAGCGTCATAAGCTTGATGGGATTGTTTACTTCGCTGATGATGACAACATCTATTCACTTGAGTTGTTTGAGAGTCTGAGAGCAATCAGGTAACTTGATTACTACTCGTATTGCAAGTGTTTTTCAGTAATTTGTTATTGTTTGTAGTATTGCTTGGGATGCAATAGTGGTGCTTTTATCATGGTCTGGCGAATGAAACTTGAAACATTACACATATCAATTATAGGATTATGTATGACTTTGAAGGTGGGCTTATTAAAAATGTTGAAAAGCTGAAATGTAGTACTGTGTGAAAATTGTATTGGTAGTAAGGGGCTGTGTAAACTCTGGGACATTGGCTTATACATGTTTTGATTGAAGACATAAACATAAATGTAGAAGAGGAATTATGTGATAAGGGGCAGGCAGCTGTGGCTTCACGTAGATGTTGAATTGTATGATGTCCTAGCATGACTTGGTTATATGAGAGGTACAGTTGGAACGGTAAAAGAAACATATTTAAGATTTAAATTGTTTACTAGAGGTCAAAGTCACTGTTGGTCTTGATTTATTTGCTTTTGAGATCACAAATATGATAGATCCTGTTCTTTCATTGTTATAGGACCCCTCTGTATAGAGGGAATCGATCATAATACATCTATAACCTTCTAGATTTTTGTTGAATTTCTGCACTAGCTGTTTTTTCTTCAGAATTTTCCTTTTGTTATCAAGTATTTATTCAGTTATTATAAGGAATTATCCAGTTTTAAATCAATTGTTGTAAGAAATTATCTTCTGACACCCCCACCTCCCCAACTGCCTAAAGTATGGGGTTGTTAAGTGATCTTTTTGCTTTTCCTAACTTTTACTCTTCTTCCTATATAGTCGTTTTGGTACTTGGCCTGTTGCTATGCTGGCGCAGAGTAAAAATAAAGCCATTATGGAAGGTCCTGTCTGTAATGGAAGTGGAGTAATCGGATGGCACACAAATGAGAAGAGTAAACGACTTCGTAGATTCCATGTTGATATGTCTGGATTTGCTTTCAATAGTACAATATTGTGGGATCCAAAGAGGTGGAAACGCCCTACTTCAGATCCAATTCGGCAGTTAGACACAGTGAAGGAGGGTTTCCAAGTATGAAGTTTAGCTTTGCAGTTTACTTTATGCATTTAATTTTTAGAGTGTCATTTACTCAAATTTTGTTTTTGAAATGGCTAAATTCTCACGTTTAGAGCACAGGGTCAAAACTAATTGACTAGTTTGCTTCCTTACAGGAAACTACATTTATAGAACAAGTTGTTGAAGATGAAAGTCAAATGGAGGGTATCCCTCCTGGTTGTTCGAGGATAATGAATTGGCACCTTCATTTGGAAGCTCGTGAAGTTTCTTATCCTAGAGGCTGGCTGCTTCAGAAAAATCTTGATGTTGTTATTTCAAATAATAGCTAATTTTTATGCCTACAGCGGACAAAGTATGTGTGATCCTGGAGGTATGTGTTATACTTGTGTATAGACTGTCTAATGGTTTTAACCCTGCAAATTAGATTTATACAGAGAGTTGTCATTCTGTGAGAATAAAAAGCAACGGAAGCATAGTAAACCTTTTGACTGTCAAGAGCCTCCTAGACAAGCAAACACACATAAAAAGTTTAAACACTGGGTAATAATTGTTATGTGATAATCATTTATGTGATTGGAGGTTGTTTCACATGATAATTGCTGTTGACATAAGCTTCTATCTGATATTTCTTGTACTTTGCAAAAGAAAGAACAGCTAATTGATACTTTCTCTATGTGATAGCTCATCTCGTAGTCTGGTGGAGCACCTTCATGTGGGAGCAAATTATTATGCAGTGACTCCCAGCAAGTTGAAGCAGCTCTCAAAGAGATATGCTAGAGCTTGTTCATTAATCTTTTTCTCATCTCATGCCACGTCCAGCAAAGAGCAGAGGATACGCCAGCAAAGGTTGAGGTGGATATTTTTTTTGGGGAAGTGCACTTTGTTTTTGTTGTAGAGTTTTGATATTTGTTCACAGTTAAGGAGTGCTGAGCAGAGGATATGCCTGCAGCAGAAGTGCATTCTATTTTTGTTGTAGAGTTTTGCTAACTGTTCATAGGTAAGGAATGTTGCGGCTGCCTACACCAACCTTATGCAGGTAGCTTTGCTGGATACTTCTGAGATACTATTGCACATTACTGTTAATGTGCATGAACTAGGACTCGGATTAGAATGAACAAATATGGTCTACATAGTTTTGAATTCTTTTATTCTCTTTGGTATTTACATCGGGAATGCTCAAGAACTTTTCTGTTCAATAGATTCCTGTTCTATATTAAGGAAAAGCAATGGGTACAATAACTTGTACGTGCCTGAGTAAGATTAGGGGTTGGCATGTCACTTCATCAGGTGCTGAGAACGTAGCAATGGTATGTGTAGGTTTGGCTGCTTTATGCTGGTTAAGGAAAAGCAATCACGAGCGCCGGAGGGGAGAGGAAGAGGAGGAGGAGGAGGAGGAGGACGCAGACAAATGTGTTGTGAGATATTTTTCTGTAATGCGCGGTATGTAGGAATACTATTCCCGTAATGAGAAAATGATCATTACTCCATTTCTCTTGTTTATATCGTTCTTTTAAAAGATCAAAAAAGAACAAAAGCCAATTAAAAGTTCCAACATCAGTTACGAATATATACTGCCTCCATATGGAAGAAAGAGCACAAGAGACAATCCCATTTTAGAAAAATTTTTTTTTTGAAGACATTAAGATATCTACACACGTTTATCTAGACGTACATGGGTCAGCGGACACTCCGATTTTCTTACCGTTGTCCCTGTAGTTGCATGTTTAGAGAGCAATGGATCCTCTAAAAATGGGAGAACTATCATTTTGATACCTCAATTCTTATACTTACTCATGTTAAGAAAATCGTAATATTTAGTGCATCGATGTCCCACTAATATACATTGAGTATAAATTACTAAAATGTGCCAAATACTAAAACAAAAGTTGTCACTTGTCAGAGAGAGAAAAAAGAAAAGGAATAAAGTCCATTAAAAGTTGGAAATATTTTTAAGAAATTAAAGGATCCAAATATGTTAAACGTGTAAAATAAGCTGCTCAGTCAAGACTAATTCTATGAGAGTCAAGACCAATTCAAGACTAATTCTATGGGAGCCCACGACTTTAAAAACACAATAGGGGGCGATAGATACAAGGGATAATTTCAAAAACCTCCCTCGAGCTCTCTGACAATTTCATATAAATACCCTCTAATATTTCAAATTACATCGATCTCATCTTTCACGTAGACATGACCAAGTGTCATCATCAGGAGCATTCAAATGACCAAATTGCCCTGAACAACTTGTGCCAACAAATATTGAAAATATGAAAAAAAGAAATTGCTTCAAATATAGTTTGTTTTGCTACTTGGCACCAAATAGTTGGAGGTATATATGCTTAAAGCGCCAAGTAGCACTTGCAATAACATTATTATCTGAGAAAAATCAAAATAGCTTTACAAAAGAAAAAAAAAAATCAAGGAAGTAGAGGCTCAGCCATTCGTGATATTACATTTGGTAAAGGGTTTGTGTAAAAAAGTGATTACTATAGCACAATTTAGATTCCATCAAAATCACTAGAGGTAAAAGATCAAAACTTTTTTAGGTTTTTAAAACTATTTACATGTTTTTTAAGTATTGATTGTTATTTATTATGTTAATAGTAATTATTTTCTTAAAGAGACAAAGAGGGTATATATGTGTCAATACTTTTGCTTCACTTTTGAGATTAACAGGGACTGATTTTATTAATGAACATGTCTGTCAATCAAAGAGAAACTAACGTGACTTTTAATATCAGAGGGCGTTTATGTGAAATTGCCTGAAATTATCTCTAAACATAAATATGAAAATTTTTGAAATTTTAAAAATCACGATGTGAGGTGAGCCATCTTTTGATTTGTACGTATAGAATTTTTCTTTCCATGTTTTTTCTTACGTGTATCTTCTAGCTTACATCATGAGTAGAGCGGATGACCAAAAACTGAAATGAAAATGATATATCGATTATTTAGTAGCAGCACAAGTAGTTACTGGTTACTACTAACTTATCATGGGTTGGTATGTAAAGTCAGATATTCCAAAAACGTAAGCTTGTCCGATGCATCGGTTGACAGACTCTCTCACGGTCACGGTCACGGTCACAGGCCAGCTTGCAGTCCCATCCGCTTCTTCGGCTTTCCTTCCCCACTCCCCAGTACATCTCCCCGCTTCCGGCGGTAAAATTAGAACAAAAAAGCTACTAGTGGTGGTAGGGTAGGAGTATAATAATTTGAGCTCCAGCCGGCTTCAACAGAATTTGATTTCTTTCCAGATTCATAATCCTCCATATCTTCACCACTCGAGATGTAAATTTCTTCTTTGATCACTCTTCTAAATCTTCTGGATCTCCTTTTCTACCCAAAATTATCACCTCCACCTGGATCTCTCACCTCCATTGTTAGTTTTTACCTCAAGTCCGTAAGCGTTTTCCTTTTCAATCATTTCTTTTTTTTACTTGCTCATTTGTAAGTTAAAGTTGAATCTCAGCTCTTCATTTCTTTGTGAAGCTCATTTTTCAGGTGAATTTTTTTTCCTAAAAGTTAATTAATTTCGTGGAATACCTCGATTTTAACGAAGCTATGCAGTAGGACTGTTGCATTTTTCATTTGAAACTTATGCATTTAACGTTGAATTGGTTAAATTTCTTTGTAAATTTGTAAAATTTTGATTAATTTATGTAACGAAATTAATCAGCTCTATGCTTTCTAGATTAGTAAGGTAGTAGTAGAACTTAGTAATATAAATGTCATCGCTGCTAAGAACGCTGTCGCTGTACCACGATCGGCCGTATCAGAACGGAGGAAATCAATTTTCCGTTAACTCGCCGTCTCACAGGGCGTTATCCAATGCCAAAAGTTCGTCTCCGTTGTCGCCGTTCTTTCCCGGTGTACTTTCACAAAAAAGTTCGCGTAAAGGCATGAGCTCGTGGAAAAAATGGTTTTTTAGGTGTTTGATATTTTTCTCGCTGGGGTTTCTATTAGGCATGGCTCCCTTTGGGGGATATGAGGATGTTAAAGGCCGTGATTTCTCGTTCGAGGAGAATACCATGGCAAAGTCGGCAGAAAATGATGAGGGGGATGTGAGGAATTTGTTGGTTGTGGAGGCGAAAGGTGGGGAAGGTTTAGTCGTGGATAAAGTTGAATTACGGGTTGTTGAGGAAAAAGAAGTGAAGGAGCGGTTTGATTTTGTTCCACGGAAGCAGTTGATTGTGGTGACACCGACGTATAATAGGGCACTTCAAGCTTATTATTTAAATAGGTTAGGACAGGTTCTGAGGCTGGTGCCGCCGCCATTGTTATGGATTGTGGTAGAGATGAATGTTGCATCGTTGGAGACTGCAGATATTTTGAGGAAGACTGGGGTTATGTACAGGCATTTGGTGACTACCAAGAATTTGACGGATGTAAAGGACAAGAGCGTGCATCAAAGAAACACAGCACTGGAGCATATTGAGAATCATAAGCTTGATGGGGTTGTGTATTTTGCTGATGATGATAGTATCCATTCACTCGAGTTATTCGAGTGCTTGAGAGAAATCAGGTAACTTGATTATGATTAGCATTGCAACTGCTTTTAGTTTTCTTGTTATTCTTGTACACTAATGTTTGGGATTCTATTCTGTGATATTTGTGCTGCGCCAGTTGAATGAGAGTTCAGACCTTATAACTGCTCAATACAAGCCTTATCTCTGCCTTTGTTGATTGGTCGAAATCGCTGGAAACTCAAAGCATAAAAGAAGAATTCTATGACTATCGTAATTCCATTGTGGCTTTGTGTAGTATTGAAGGATTTCAGAACTTTAGGTATTCTGCTTAGTAATTAAGTATGCACTACTAGATCCTTCAAGCTAAGGAAATCAAGGAAAATTGACATATAATAACATCAGAAGAGTAACACAAGTGTGGCTTCATTGAAATGGTGCACCTAAGCTCAGTTTCATTATTTACTGTTGATTTAGTTGTTGTTTGCATCTAGAAATATGATATATGATACATCCTCTCATTTCATTATTTATGAGTTGGAGTAATTTAAATTGGAGTTTATATATGTAATTTTTAGACATTTCCTGAAAGAATTGCTGACTTTTTATTGTTTTTCTCAATCGCTTTTATGATTTTTTCGGGGTTTTTCGTTGTTTTCATGTTTGTTGTGTGGTAGTTTTTCTTTTTCTTTTCTTTTTCATGTTTATGTCTTGTATTTTTCTATATTAGATTAGGGAACTTTTTATGAATTCTAAGAGAGGAGAGCTTCTATGAGAATTGGTCCAGCCTCACATCTTTCTTAAAATTTTAATGCTCTTAAGAGATGGAAGTCGATAGTTAAGTTCTTTGACTAATCCTTAACATTGATGATGTCAAAAGGAGATCGATGAGGTCATTCAAGGCAGTGTATTTGGATGCAGTAAGGAGGAGAAATGGACTCTTGACAATCGAATTGGATGGTTATCCTAATTTGTTTGTTTGCCACATGAGTCTCCTTTGTTTATTTGGTGACGGGAGATTGTTATTTGATTTCTTGACATTGATGCCATGTAATTTTTATCTGATTGACGAGGCAGTTATATTTTCTGATCTTAGCTCCCTACCTGAACCTCAAGAAAATAAAATTAGTGAGATGAAAGGAATCGTGTTCCTCTTTTCTTGCCATAACTTTCCTATTATTCTATACAGGCGTTTTGGTACTTGGCCGGTTGCAATGTTGGCTCAAACTTGGAATAAGGTGGAGTTGGAAGGTCCCGTCTGTAATGGGAGTCAAGTAATTGGATGGCATACAAATAAGAGTAAAGGACTTCGTAGATTCCACATCGATATGTCAGGTTTTGCTTTCAATAGTACAATATTGTGGGATCCAAAAAGATGGCAACGTCCAACTTCAGATCCAATTCGGCAGTTAGATACTGTGAAGGAGGGTTTTCATGTATGGATTATGTCTTTGCAGTATAAATTATCCATTTATGTTTGGGATCCTTATTTTGTGCAATTGATGGGTTCTCAGAACCAGAGCAGATGGACAAAACTCAGTTTTCATTGTGTCTCCTTACAGGGAACCACATTTATCGAGCAAGTTGTAGAAGATGAAAGCCAAATGGAAGGCCTTCCTCTTGGTTGTTCAAAGATACTGAATTGGCACCTCAAGCTGGAAGCACGTGAACTTTTTAATTCTAAAGCTTCACTGCTGCAGAAGAACCTTGATGCTTGAGCTAATTGTTGCAATTTACACTGGCCAATATACCTTTTGATGCAGGTATGTGTTCGAGATTTGACTCTGATGGTTGGCCATGGTTTGGGAACAAATTATTCTCCTGTGTCTAAATCAAGTAAAAGCTAAAAGGAAACGGATTATAGTAGGCCTTATGATGGACAGAAATTTTTCTAAGCAAACAGAGACAAAGAAAGAAAGTAGGGTAACTTAGGCTTTACGTCAAGGATTATCGGATGTATATGTTATTCCTCTCTGATTCGATATTGTTGCACTTGCTATTATGACTAGTGAAGTGTCTCTGTTTTCTCTTGTTTTAGTTATGAAAAGATATGACTGCTGATATTACTATCTTTCTCTGCATGTTAGCACAGCATATTGTGGTAGACCACCTTCATCTAAAAGCAGGGCATTGCATCATGTGATCCTCCACAAGCTGAAGCAGTTCATGTTGGAACATAGACGTTGAAGCAAGAATCAGGAACTTTTGTTTGTAGCTGTTTTCTGTTTTCATGCCATTTTTGGTAATAGCGAGGAACATTCCGTATAATGGTGGAAGGTGGATATTCTTTTAGTTTCTTCAAAAATTTCCTTTTTATATTTATCATCATTTTTTCAGTGAATCACATGGTCATAGAATTTTATGGCCTGGTTCTTGGGAGGATTACTCCCCTAACATCATGTGCAAGCAAACTCCTTCCCTACCCTAATCAGAAGCATGATCATTAGTTGCTAAGATTTGCTTCCGCTTCCCCAAGTTTGCTCCACCAGACACCCACCCTATGTCCTGCCATCATTTACTTGCAGTCCTAGATAGAGGCAGCTGCAGGAGCAGGATCATCTTTTTTTTTTTTTCCTCCCTGGACACGATAACAATTGTATAACTTATTTTATTCTAAACTATAGGGGAGGAGGAGCATAGTAGGAACAGGATCTTCTGCCAGTGTGTTTTCTACGTAAAGCCCCTTGAACTTTTGACTCAGTTCCAATGATCACTTTCCTTGCCAAACAATCTGGAGTCCTTTTCAATGGGGGCCCAAAAGTCAGACAATTATGGAGCAATCTCTAGTCTTCGATACAAAGTCCTTTTAGCCTAAAACCTCTTATCTTTAGCAAAATTCCTCCATTGGTTGCTGCGCCATAGTTACTCTAAAAAGCTAGCAGGCAAGCGATCCTATTGCCTCCTATGCATACATCAGGATGGTAATAGCTTCTATATACTCTGATGTGGTGGCCTCTTGACTGGTAATTGTAAATGAATTAGGACACATGAAAAGGAACAAGTCTTTTATTTTAACTGCTCCATTCTTCTCCTTGCCATTTCACATGGCAACGCTTAAGAAGTCTGCCGTGAAATAACTGTTATTTATTGTTATGGGACCTTGTGCAGTACCACATGAAATTAAAGGGATTGCATGTTCATCTCAGTATATACAGGCGGTAATGCGATCAAAAGGGTGTATTATACCATCTCAAATATGGAGTGATCGCTTGCTCTAAGCGTAAAAGGATCGGTGTTCCTTTAGACTTTGATAGCAAGCGCCTACTTTTGGCTGCGATATTTCTTATATGAGCTCTACGATAGTGGCTACAGCTTACAAGGACAATAAAGTTGAGAAAATGGGGATACCTTAACGTTCACAATATCATACTTTTAAATATTTTGACAATGTTGCGTAGAAGTTTCCAAAACTACAACGCTTGCGTTTAATATTGGAGAAAGGATAGAAGCACACGTCTTAGAACTATCACCATTACGCAGGAAAAAAAAAAACACAAAAGCTGAATTAAATCCACCCTGAAGGGTTGTTGGGCGTTAAGAAGGCTGGATGCTAGGGGATTTAATCATTCTGGATGGATTGCATGCTCATTCCTGGAAAAGGGCAAGTTCCCAACCAAACTAAGTGGGAGGGTACACCAATATCATTTGCTGCTTGCTTGTCCGTGGGCAAAAATCATCGCAAACAATATGCAAGCAAAATCCATAAACGAATAATCTCTCGTGTCTACAAGCAACAGCTTTTGAGAAGAATTAAACTTCTTTATTGATCATAATCGCTAAGCTATGACATGCGCATCGCATAACACGGTGATTAGAAATTCTATGATTTGGTGCAGAGGGAGAATTTCCGCCCAGGAAATTTTTTCCAAAACACCTTGTGCTGAGTGACGGCCCAGAATTGTCCAACCTTTTCGGGATCAGCACTAGAAGTCCTTGCTCCAAATAAATTGTAACGCAGATATTGGCTGGAGCCGGAACTCCCAGTTTCAACCGAGCTTGCAGGGACTGGAATCCTGGGATCAAGCAATTCCCAGAGAGTGAAGAAAAAGGTTTGGTGTTGCAGATTCCAGAAAACATAAGGGTCACGTTGGCATTGCTCCATGAAGGGAAGAGCTAGTGTCTGGGGGATGCAATGAAGATGTAAGATGTGATTTCTGCAGATGTGGTTCATCGACAAGGTTGAGAAGTACCAGCGTTGATCTGCAAAATTCAAACACAGAACTTTCACTGGACAAGACAACTGAAGGACACCCACCATACTTGCCAAGACATAAAATGAGATCAACCAGCTTTAAACAAGACCATGAAAAGTAAACCTTCATATCAACCAGACAGGAGTGCACTATTTAGACGAAGGTTGACATTATTTTGGCTAAGAGGAATGAAACTTAAAATTTCTGATAGTTGAATTAATATGATAATGCTATGCTCGGAGACAATATTGCATACCACAACCATATGATTACAAATTTGGAGTAGTTTCAGTGCACAGAACTTTTGAGTATTGGTTTCTCCAGGTTGATTTCAGTAGATTTTTAACACAACTCAGGAGTATCACGATACTCAGATTAGTAATAGTACACTGATAATGGTTAATAGTGTCAAACAAACACCTTCCATTCACCTTTGCCTTTTTACTACCGTATATACTTCCAGAAAAACTTTGAACCATCATTAGAATGATGGTGCAACCAGAAAATATTGAAGATATTCCTAATAGAATTTCAGAGAGTACTTTGAAACATAACCAAGCATGATCATTTCCAAGAACACCCGTTACCTAGTTAATGAATTTCTCACACTAGGTTGGCTTGCATAGGTAGCTAGTGGTCCTCGAAGGTGAGCATATTTGTTAAGAGCACTTTCAAGCTGGGGTGATGGCAACTGCAAACAGAACATGGGAAACAAAAAAAGAACGTTGAAGATTATGGCATGCAGAATTCAAAACCCGAATTATACAATCATACATTAGGTAAATTATATAAACGCTACCTGCAGTAACACACGGAAGGAATGAGGCTGGGTTTGTGATACACATTTCAAAAACCCTACCCACAGCTTTGGCATTCTCCATACCTGCAGCCAATGCACAAACTCTAGGCCATAAATTGGCGGGCTGAAAATTCCAATTACAAGCAAACTTATTCTCAGCCTCACCTTGAATAAACATCCAGGCTATGACAATTTTTAAGAAGAATAAGAAAAGGAACAGCAGAACATACCTGTCTACTCACAAGTTTGGACAGTAACTCCATGACAAAATCCACCTGCACATGAAGTTAAACCATGCTGTTGTTTATTGCCGACTACATTAATCAAAAAGCTGAATTATGCACAAATAAGAAATCACAATACCATCGCAAACAAATAATAGTTATATCCTGTTCACAAATAGCAACCTAGTTATCTACTTAGATTGGAATATTTTCAAAATTCCTGCTTCAGTTCTCATTCCTTTCACAGAACATGCACAAGAACCTCTTATCCTGTTAAAAAGCAAAAGGTAAAGAGCATATCCATATTTTCAAAGCAGGGAAGTGAAACACCATACAAGTCTTCTAGTCTCAAACAATTACGTTGAGAATTGGAACATCAATTATGAATAAGTACATGGACAAAGAAAGAGAATAAATACATGGAATAAGAGGAGGACTCAAAGGCTTTAGCAATACCGCTTTTTTGGACTTTTTTTTAGCTCTTGTTAACTTTAACAATAAAATTGTTCTTCAAGTCTCAAACACTTATGTGTGAGAATTGGAACATCAATTATGAATAAGTACATGGACACAGAAAGGAAAATGCATACATGGAATAAGAGGACTCCTCAAAGGCTTTAGCAATACCACTTTTTTGGGACTTATTTTTAGCTCTTGTTAACTTTAACAACAAAGTTGTCATAGCATACACTTCAGTAATGAAAACTTGTTAGCAAGAAGTAAAGTAATTAAGTGCTGGCACATAAAATAGCTTATTTGCGGACACACATAAAAGACGTTGGGATACTATATCTTAAAAACTGGCATAAAGGGCATTAATGGGCACCACTTCAACTTGGGACCACCATGTTAGTGATAAAATAATTTCTTTTGATAATTCATCTCATTCTATTTGGCATCACTCCATTCCACAAGTAGTACTGCATGGTCCTTGACAAATTTTTCCATTGTAGTTTATGGTGAGTTAGGATTTTTTTTTTTTAATTTATAATTCCTGAATAAAACCAAGTTTTAATTGCTGTACTAAATTACGAACTTGATGGAAAGGACATGGTTGGATGTCTAATTTGGAAAGTGTAACAATTTAAGCTTACTTATTTTAAATGGGGTTTGCACTGACTTTAGGTGCAAAACAGTACAAATACCCTTTTAGAATGAACAGCCAAAAATCATTGCCTCTTCATGAATAAACATACAAGTGTGCGCCTTCCACAAATTTTCCATATTGATTATTCAATTCTAGTCCTCATCGTATTGGAATCATTTGTTAGCTGACCTGCATCCAGCGACAACCTAAGAAAGTTGATCTCGAGAAACTTCATTTTTTTGCTCAGTTATGAGGTAGTTCAACATATTCTCTGAAAGGTAGTAGGATGTCAAGGAATGCAGCTGAACAGGGAAAAATATTTTACCAGAGCAGGGAAAGCATCAGTAGTTTGAATCACAGTCCTCATGAATAGAAGTGGTAGAGGAGTTTGATCCACCTAAAAAATAAATATGCATAAGCTAACCATTCTCCAATTTACAAGCTGTAACATGCACATACTTTAAACTTTTATACCATCTGATTTAAGGCCTTTGCCATGACCTGCTGGGTGAAAACCGTTCGCTGCTCAAAGCACACTGAGCAAGCATCTGTAATCTGAAAGGCAAAAAAGGTTAAATTGCTTCCGATGTGAATTATGTAGATTGATAAGCATCGGATGGAAATCATAAGAACTGGGAAAAAACAAAAAGATTTCATTTACTCCACTAAGCATATGCTCGCTGAAGATGGAATCTCTTGCTTTGGATTCTTAGGAATCCAAATAAACAATACACATTTTCCTGACACTGTCGTGGATAACCATGAAACCTAACCAAATTATTTTGAATTGCCATTGCTAAATACCAACCTTTTTAAGTGGAAGAAGATCTCTTTCAGGATTAATGTCGTGTATTGCCACCATCACTTCTGCCGGTGTCAAAGCGGGACCTGTATGAGCAGAACCCTGCCAAGAAACATTTTGAATCTGAAAACTTCCGACACCAAACTGGAGAAACTTAGAATACAATTCAACCAAATATTGATGCTAAAGTTACTTCCAGAAATGAATAATTCTGGACAGTTAATTAAAAGTCCGACTAATGCTAAAATTTATCTATTGCTTGCCAGCTCAAAATAAATTCAACCAACCGTACATGAATACAGTGACTCAAGAGACATCACAGCACAATCCAGGTTTGACAGCACAAGTACTAATATTTCATCTCAGTAAAAATTATTTAATTCCCACTAATAAGCTATGACCATATATTTGCAGACATAGTATTTACATTCTGCATTTTCATCTGAGTACCTCTTAAATCAGGATAGACAACATGACATAGACAGGCAAATATAATATCTTCTAAAGACATTGATGAAATAAGGATATGTTCACTATCAAAAGCAACTCGCAGTAATCTCACAAGCAAAATCCACTTGTTTGATTGGATTAAACTTAGACAAATTTGAACAGTTGGGGTTTGAGGAGAATGGTGAATATATGCCTGTACATGTGCAAAAAAAATTGAATTGAGAAAATACAATTAAGCTGTAGTTTATTATGACTAGGCAACACTCAAACATAAGTAGACAAACATGCACAAGAACTATACAATGACGAAAAAATTGAAAGTAATCCTGATAAACTTAATGTTGGATAAAAATGGCCTAATGTGAGATATATCTATTGCATTTACAGCACATTTTTCATTTGGTTTAATGATTTCATAGGTTATCAAGTATAAGAATATCTGTTATTCAGTCAGTAATCC